ATATCGTGAGAATTTCACCATTTACATTCTATTTTCATTTTTTTAGATTAAAAGTTATTAATCGTTTTGATATGTGTTATATATTTTCTATTGCAAAATAAATATTTTGTAATTTGTTACGCACACACATATACATATATATATATATATATATAAAGTCATGTTTATGAATAATTCTAGACATTGAATTGGGAGACATATCTTATTACTAGCTTATTAATCAATTTGAGATTCTTTAAGTCGTGTTTAGAAATAATTCTTGACATTGAACCGGGAGATGTACCTTATTATTAGCTTATTAACCAGTTCGAGATTCTTTAAAGAATATATATGTGTGTAACCATAACTAGCACAACAATATTAGAAGTAAAAATTCTCACTTGATTCATATATCATGTATAACTAAATTAAATATTTGACTATTACTATATTTTAAGAAGAAGAAAATATGACTATCTAAATAATGTCCCAATGATCAATACAAAGTTTTCTTTAAAAAATTACATCGTCTCAATTTAAACTAAGAAGTATGTACAGGCCAATTTGTTTGGTCATTTAAATAGTAACCTTGAGCGTAGGGTCATGTGCCCATCAAATAGTGGCTGGTTGATGTGTCTACAAGACTAGGATTGAAGTGGTTGGTGCTCATAGTCATGGCTAGACACACATGCACTATTACTTTGACAACGCATTAATCTAGAATTTACTACTCATTGATGCTGCCATTACCTATTTATGGACGGTCGTCCTTTGGAACATGTAGAAACGACACTAACATGATTACATTCTATGAATGAAATAAAGAGGATTAACTTGATCATGTACAATATCTAGAAATAGAAAATAGACATCGTTAAGATTAGAAGGAATAAATTAAAGATTCATATATATATATTTGTTGAATTTGTTGATTGGATTGCAAATACATCTGTGAAAATAAAATTTTTATTCATTCTGATTGTTCAAGACTACACCTCATCATAAGGTAGAGAAAACATGCATCACACATTATTCGTCGGATCGGTCTTGTAGTCACATTCCTTCTTATTTGTCGAAAATCATCCCCATCTCTTCCAAGGCCCTACCTTTGGTTTCAGATGACTTTTTATTCCGCTCCTTTAAATATTAAGACTACACATCAACTTCAGGTAAAGGAAACATGCACTACACATTCTCCGTCGGATCGGTCCCGGTGGTTACATTCCTTCTATCGTATTTGCTGAAAATCATCTCCATCTCTTCCAAGGCCCTACCTTTGGTTTCAGGCAAGAAAAAATAGAAAAACAACCAAGCCAGTACAGATGAACCGGCAAACACGAAAAACGCCCCACCAATAGTAATTGCTTTATATATCGAAATAAAACTCATGGAAATAGCCGCATTTGTGAGTCTGTTTACAGCAACTCCAATACTTGCTCCTTGTGCTCTCAACTTCAAAGGGAAAATCTCTGAGCTGTACACCCACGTTACAGGTCCAAGACCAATATTGAAAAATGCAACAAAAAAGTAAGTAGCTACTATGCTAAGGGTCAACGCCCATAAGAGCTCCTTATCGGATGTATCAACCATGGTCAAGCTAAATCCTAATACTAAAAGACTACAAATCATTCCTCCGGTGCTTATAAGTAAAAGGCGCCTTCTCCCAACTCTGTCCAAGAAAAAAGAGGCAATTATCAAGAAAGAGACTTTTGTAATGCCCACTCCAATGGTTGTCAGTAAGAGCTTATCCTTACTGGTAACACCAGCTTTCTTGAAGATTCTTGGACTATACAACATAACAGCTTCTATTCCAGTTGCATGCTCAAAAAAGTGAATCCCCACAGCTGCAATCAACATCCAACGAACAGCATAAGTGGGCCTTATAATCAACTCTTTCCAAACTCCTCCACTATTCTTCTTTTCAGGGACTTTAACCATTTCTTTAGAGTCATTCATGTCAATTCCAGCAGCAAGTTTTATATCCTGGAATCGCAACTCAGCTTCTTGTTCAGTATTTGAAATTTGTAATAGAACATTCTTGGCCTTTTCTAAATGACCTTGCATCACCAACCACCTTGGAGATTCTGGCATTACCAAAATGCCTAAAGCCAAAGCAAGTGAAGGGATTGCTGCAATACCAAGCATCAATCTCCATCCAAGCTTCAAACTCAATTTCCCAAGGAAGTAATTTATCACGTACCCAAGTAAAATTCCAATACCAATACAAAGCTCGGGTAAAGAAGTTAGAAAGCCTCGAGATTTAGCCGAGGATATTTCTGCAGAATAAACAGGTGCTATCAAAAGAGCAAAACCCACGCCAATACCCGCAACACACCTTCCAGCCATTAAAATTGTGTAGTTTGGACCATATCCCATGAGAATTGACCCAACCATGAAAAGGATAGAAGCTACGGTGATTGTGTAGCGTCGACCAATGTAATCAGCAGTTCTTCCTGCAATTAAAGATCCCACCAATGCACATATGTTTAATATACCTGCCAAAACTTCTTGCTGAGTGTCACTGATTTCGAGCTCCTCTTTTATGAATATCAAGGCTCCACTCATGACACCAGTATCTAAAAGTCAAGTTGACATCTGTCGTTAATTCTCTTGCATAACATGTATTGATATGATATAATATATGATAAATTATAACAATATTTATGTTTTTTAAAAATTCTTTTACAAATTATGTGACACATGAAAAGAAAAAGGAGAAGCATTTGATAATATAGATAACAAAAATTATTAATAGATACAAATATCTAGTAAATATTTAAGGAGCTAAATGTGTGTTAATGAAGTGTTTACACTAATACAAACAATGTGTATAAACATTGTTACCCGTATATATATGCTCTAAAATTAAAGAAAATGATAAAATTAAATGTTATCTTTGAGGGAAACATATGTATCCATAACCATAATACCATGAGTTGCATGCACGAATATAACAAAATGAATAAAATTGGAAAATATAGGAGAATGACAAAATAAAGAGAAGAAAAAATAAAATGAGTGAAAGGGAATTGAATATACCATATCCAAATATAATGGATATCATGGAAGTGATTATCGCACATGCCATAGCATATGTAGAACCTCTGTTCTCTTTGTTACCCTGCTCCATGATATATCGATGAACTTATCTTCCTTTAATAAGTAATTAATAATAAATATGTTTCTTTATTCTCTCGCTTCTTCGTAAGTATTATTCTGGAGAGTTTTTCAGCGATATTTATGTATACTCAATGATCACCTAAAGAAATAATAGATAGATGCGTTAGGTTAAATTTGCGATCGAGAGAAAGTGACAAGGTTAACTTATACGAAAGAAATGAAAAGAAAAACATATATATACGTGTGTGGGTAAGAAATCTAAAGATATTGTGACTTACGTGTAGATGTCATCCATATGATTGCTTCCTGTTAATTAAGGTTAGGAAAGAAACACACTTGCTGGATCCAGGTCATGGATAAGTACTTTAGTTTTGATGTATTAATATCGGTACAAGATGTTGTGTTGAATGACGAATGACCAACAAAGATGGGGTGGAACGTTTTGCTAGTGTTTGCTACCAGTTGTGTCTGTTGGTTGAAGTATTTATTACTGAGGATAAGGATACAATGTCTTGACATAATTTTCCATTTGAATTCTTATCCTGATTAGTCTCCGCTTCATATGCTTAACGTCGACCGAGTCTGGCCATAAAAAACTGACTGTTAATTTTTACGAATTCATTGTCATTGTCAACCACTCTAATGAATCCAGTTACTCCTATAACAACGACATGTCGTAGCTTACTAACTTAATTACATTTCTTAATGATTTCTTTTTTGAAGGGTTCTTAATGAGTGTAAGAACTCCTAGACAGATAGTTCGTGTTTATATTATTTATACATTTATTAAAAAAATTGGTCAAAGATGTAAATTACTACAATACATTTACTTTTTTTAACATTTTTTTTACTAAGAGAATTAAAATACTAGTATGAGTTCATTTAAATATTTAAGCAACTAATACTTTAGTCTTTATGTTACACAAGATAAATATTTATTTTATATATAATTAAAATGTATAATAAATTAATATTTTTGAATATATACATTTTATTATAATTAAAAATTACATTTCTATTATTGACGTATTCGTACATCATGTTGTTAACAATGACTTCATGTATATGTTTGATTTGATTGTATATATTATGAGAGTTAAAATCGCGTGTTTTGAATTTTAATGCTATTATTAATTCCTGGTAATGTTTTTAATATATTTTACTAAACTTCAGTAAAAGCATTACATTCTCATCAATGTATTATATGTATCAGACCATAAACTCATTGTTTCATTTGTTTGTTCAAAAAACCAGCCGGTACCAAGTTGATGATGCCATGCCTGACCAGATATTAGGCTTGGGCCGATTAAGTCTTTGATTTCCCATCTGCGACGATTTTTAAAACTATTGTATAGATGTTTTGTATTATAAAACTCATAAGGGTGATTAATTTGGTAAAAAGTAAAAACAACGTCAATAAATTACTGTTGAAACCAGTTATAAATTAAACAACATGAAGAAAATCAAGTTGATTTAAGAGTAATTTAAAAAAAATGTTATTTATTCTAACTCTTTTACAATATTAACAAGTAATTCATTTTTAACTGTCAGAATAAAAGAAAATAAATAATAATTTGAGAGTATTTCTTTTAATGTTATTATTGAAATAATTCTTTATTTGACCCCTTTTCTCCACTCTTTGCTAAATACGTGCCATGCCACAGTGGTAACACTTAAATTTGCACGAGAGGGATTTGGTTCCATTCCTCGCATACAGTGGATTGTGGTTAGAAAATTTGGGCTTTCACACAATTTTTTTCAATAAATTTATTAGTTATTAATTTTATATTATTTTTTTTGTTTTTTAACTGTAAAATTATTTATCAATATTTTATAATTAAATAATTTTAACATTTAATTCTTAATAGATAAAATGACTAATTCATTTAATTTATCTTATAACAAGTTGATATTTAAATATAATTTAAGTAATTTTAATTTTAAAAAACTTCTTTGGATGATAGCATGTAAGGGTATTGCTAATAATATTGTAAAAGTAATACATGCATTTGAAAAAGAATCAAATTTTTTTATACAGTTTAATATTTTTATTGAAGTATTAATTTTTTCTTTTAAAACTTTTTTCAATACATTAATTATAAAAGTAAATCAAGACCATTAATATTAGAATGTTCACCAAATCTAAAAAATAATAATGATAAATATGGTATTTCTTTAATTCATCTTCATTTAGAATTTAATTTTTTTTGGATTCAAATAAAAATTTAAAAATGATTTCATATCATAAAAATTGTTCAAATAAAATATTAATAAAAGAAATAAATTGATCTCATATATTATTGTTTACGGTGGAATTAACCATCAAATCCTAGGTTCTTTTTATTTAGACTAGCACACGAACGTATTTCAATTTAGGTGCTTTACTGTGTTATCGTGTTACCGAGAATGGAGAGTAGGATGAAAAAGTCTTAGCAACTACTTGTTTCGAAATGTTCTTCGATTAAAACAAACAAGCAATGTTCCCGCATGCAAATAACAATATGAATAGAATGAACAATGTATACATTCGCAATACAAATCATGTTCAAATTACATAATGTTCAAGCATTACAAGATTAAAGTCTATAACTACGTAATTAAAGGGAGAGAAGAGAAAAGAAAGACTACACTAATCCTACTCCTAAAAAGAGAAAAGACAAGTGGCCGAGAAGTAATCATACCCAAAGATGATTCCTTGCATGGAAGCCATATGTGCAGGCAGAGAATGCTTCAGAATTTGGTTAGAGTATGAGTTTTCCGACCTTTGTTAAGGTGCGTAGTACTTGTATTTATAGAATTAATTAGGGGCAGTTAATTTCGTGCACGTACATCATTAGGGGATAACCGCTGCCCATTATGCTCACCACGTGGTTTTAACTTGTAACTTCTCACAACCGCTTATCTCACGTAAATTAACTTCTCGACCCAGTCGTTAACTCTCCTTGTATGACTGTAAGTACTTTGCACTATGTTACTACTTTTTGAGCACATCGAATGTCCCATTTCAAACAATTACCCATTTGTTCATTGGTAGACGCGTGCCTTTATAATCTCTTTCGAGGAATCTTGCAAATATTTCGACTCGTTCGTCTTCGAGTTGCCCCAACAATTATAAAAAAAATTCAATATGAAAAGAATTTTTAGTTGAATATGCGATCTCATACTAACATTTTCATCGAATGTCATTTTCTATAGATTTTACATTTTTTTCATGAAATTTTGACTCTATATTCATTCTAATAGCCAATTTTTTTTAGTAGATTCCGAAGTTAATGCAAGGTCATTTTCCTTATAGTTTTTTAAATAAAAAATAATATCTCTTAAATAATTTATACACTACAAGAAAAACGTAAATTTCTGACGGATATAAATCCGTTGGAAAATATAAATTTCCCGATGGATATAAATTTATCAGAAATTACCGATGGATATATCTGTCGAAAAATTTATTTTTACGATGAAAAAAAATTCGTATGAAAAGTTAAATTACTGATGGAATATTTTTAACAAATTTATATTTGTCGTAAATGTAAGAATTTTTTTACAAAAATTGACAATTATATATTAAAAAAGATCAATAAAATTATATATACATGAGGAGGATTATAATAACACCGATATAACTTTTACTAAGTATTGCACTGCTCAATAACTTTATATTAAATGAGAATTTTTTAAATCCAACCGTTAAATTGAAAACTCTTTACTCTTGAATCATATACAAAATTTTATATATATTAATCAAAGATGATGATTTCTTATAAAACAAAATTAATTAATGTAATATATATATTTCAAAATATACTAAAATATGAACATTTTGATTACCTTCACATTATTGTTCAATTTTAACAAAATTTGATCTAAACTTATAAAGTGATATGAACTTTTAATCAAACGATTGGATTTACAAAATTCATATTTAATATAAAGTTATTGAGTATGTGTAATACTTAATAAACGTTACACCGGTATTAGTATAACTCTCCTCTCTCTCTCTCTTCATATAGATATTTATATATATATATATATATATATTATTTATAAAAAAAGTAAA